GGTGAGAAAGAGTTTCTAAACGATAATGGAACGCGCAGAATCATGCCCCTAACCAATGAGAGAGATCCATCCCTTATCAGTATAAGGTGTGGAGGGGCTGAGTATGTCGGTATCGCACCTCTCGTACGAACGACAGAGAGAGAGAAAGAGACCGAGGCCTACTGCGCTTAAGGGGTGGATAGGAGCTAGTGACGTCAGGTTAGCTTTAGTTCGGAATCAATATTGCGATCGCGTGCGCCCCTCAGTCGAGCCGCAAGCCTCATCTTGGCGCGATCGCGAAAGGTTCATTGCAGCCTATTTGCCGCGGTGCTTCGAACATTTCTACATTATAATAAACGAAGCACCAACCATCGGGCAAGTCTAGTCTGTGAATCTTACGCGATTGAGGTGACCCAACTCTGGTCTCGAGCGATCGGGCCCGGTGTGGATCAATTCAAGCTGTTCCTCATCACCAAGGTGGCGCTTGGGCCTGAGGCTTATCAGATCGAGAGGTACGCTTTCAAATGGACTTCTTTCCTACGATGTCACTCATCTGTTTATGGTCATCCTTTACGTTTTTCTAGCAATCGTTTAATCGTTTTTCGTGCTGATACAATGTTGTGCAGGATGAACCATCCGGATTCATGTGTTTCTCCCATTGGAGCTCAACTCTTTTCATCGAATTTTCCCACCTGCGTCTACTTCGGTAGGAATTATGTAGCTTTGTAAGCAACCTACACTGATAGCGACAGTTTTTGTAACTTGTCACCTTTAAATACTTCTTTTTTTAATATTTGACCACTTTATCTACCACTATTGATTATGCTTGATTATTGTTGCAATAATGATTATCTTAAAATAATAAATCTTATTCTTTTATTACCTATCGTTCAGAGGCGCTTTGTCTTATCGATTATTTGATTAATTTCTCGTTTTAATATATTATTTTAAGTTTGAAACGAATAGTTTTTTTAAACTAATTTAACAGCTACATCATTATCAATTTATTGCATTGATCATATTTTGGACTTTATATACATTTTAGGCTTTTATGCTTGAGTAAAATATTTGATATATCCTAAATACTGTTTCGATAAGAATATTAGATTAATAAAACAAATTCTTTTTGAAGCATTCTTATAATCGACAATATATATTTTGTAAATAAAATTAATTTTTTTGCAAATGTAAATATTAATAAATATCATTTTTGTCGAGACTTGTGTAGAAGAAATACATTTGAGTAATTATTGAAGTTTATTTCACTACTTTAAAGTTATGATATTCCATAAAGCATGTGTTTAAGTATTATTGATTTTTTTTTGCACGTGCATTTTTGTGAGATAAATGAAAAAAACCCTGAAGTATTTAGTACATACTTATACGTAGAACTATAAGAAAGATGAAAGTATGAGAGTGCAAGACTAAAGAGCGAGTCAGAAAGTAAAAGAGAGAGAGAGAGAGAGAGAGAGAGAGAGAGAGAGAAAGAGGGAACTGAATAATAATAGAACAATTAGAGACAGTATTAGTACAATGCATAAATTAAAAAAATAAAAGTTACATATTACTGTTATAAACGAACTTATACAAATATAGTGATATAAACATGGTGGTTTCAATTTCGTAAACTTTATATCGGTAGATTTTGGTTTGTTTCAAGTCATTAGATATACTTGTTGTGATTGAATATTTCAGGGTCGCATTTGATCGTTTTTTTTTATATGATAAGAGCTTATAAGAAAAATACTTTCATTCATTTTATTTAATTCATTTCATTTTATTTAATTAATATTAATCTATTGTTTTTATAAAATAAATCGAGTTTGGTTAATTTTTTTTATGTAAAGATGCGAAATATTGATTTTTCTCACTATACCTTAGCATTCGCTTGTAAATAATTATATTACATTTAACTATTAATGTGTTATTCGCATTTATAATTATAGAGATATATTTACAATTATATATAAAAAATATACATTACATTTTTAAGTTAAGCAGTTCGAACCAAGGGACATCGACGCGCGCACACGTTGGGCGTCGATATCTCTGTAGACCTTAGTCGAGGTCAAACGAACTTGGTAGCGTATGGTTAAAATATTTTCTCTATTTGTACTCATTGTAACAATTAAGTAAGAATTATATTTATAATTTTGTTTTCATTTTTAGCATTGCAAAATATACACTATAATTAAAAATTTTGATATTTCAATTTATAGATAGGATTATATAGACAAAGTATAAAGAACTTTTGAAACATTAATAACTATACAAAATAATTCTATTTCTAAATAAGTTTTATTCTTAAAATAAAACGTTCTTATTAATTATTATAATTACTATGGTATCAATTTTATGATTATTATTTGTTGAAGTTGATTATACATAATAATATTAAATATTATTTATTTTTATATTTCAATATTTTTTCATGTATTCTATTAACATCTTTAGGCTATATATATGATTTTTTTAATTTAATCATTCTGTCTATTATTGTACATATAATTAGAATGAAAATGTTATTATAATTATAAAAATGGTGGACTCAGCATAATTTTTTCTCTTTATTTCATAATTATTTTATTATATTAAAACTTTGTAGTCTTATTTTTAATAGTTTCTATTTTTTATACTCTAGGTTTGATAGTTTGATATTTTTTTTGTATCCACTCTGATCATAAATATATATGTTTACAATTATTTAATAATTTAATAAAATAATTTTTTATTGAAAGGTCTTTATGCAATTTAAAAGACTAATGTATAATTTTACAAATTTTATCGATGTTTGTACATTAATAGAAAAGAATACAAAATATATAGTCAAAGTTAGCCAATAAAACGAAAAATTAAACTTATAGTATGTATATTTGTAGTATGTAACTTTTCAAATTTTTCAAATGATTTGATAATTTTCAAAGCAATTGTAAATTACACTAATATCTTATCACAGCAAATTTCATGGGTTCTCAAAGAAAACAATTCATATAAACAAAGGATTGTAATAAAATTGCAACGGTATTTCAATTTATTCTGTAGATATGTTGTTAATTGAATATTTATATCATACTTTACTTTTTCTAGAAAATTATTTTAAACTTATATTCACTAAATGTTTAATATCAAAATAATATATTTGTATCACTTATAACGTATTTATCAATAGTTTTATTTATCCAAATTTTGTTATATTATTTGAGTATTTTATCTATGCATTTTATAAATTACTATTTATTATAATTTTAAAATATTAGCAATTTGTTTAGAAATTATGAATATCTTTCAAATATCAAAATTTCTTAAATTATTATTTTTATAATAAAAATTGCTAAGCAATTTGAAAACGGAAATAATTTTATTATTTGAAAGATAATATTTTCATCAATGCTTCGATATTTTCTGTTAGTTTGAGAACTCACGTATCTTCACCGCTTTTTAAATGTCATTAGAAGTAAATCAAATGCTGGTATTTCATTATAAGATCGAATTAAAAAACTCAAAGTTTTACGAATGATTTGTATTAATCATACTGATTTTTATCTGTAATAAATGAATGTACGACTATAAGAATTGAAAATATGTTTCTGACGATAATAAATATTTAAAAATTTGAATATTATAAATATTAATATATTTCGAATTTGAATATATTATGATTATTCATTTTAATTGATTCGAAATCAGAATTTAATCATAATATTCCTGATTTATGTAATATTAAGTATATTATTTTTATTTTTATTTTATCTACATAAATGATAATTTTAATTAGTAATTCAAGGACATTTTTAATAAGTTATTATTTTATTTCTTCGAAAAGCCTCAAAAGACAATAATATGAAAATATTATTTTTGCTTGCTTATACAATTTATTATTTTTATTTATTCAATTAACAATTTTAATTTCAAATATGCTCTTGAAAACAAATATAACTTTATTCTTGTTTTTATTAATATTTATTATATTCTTAATGAATTTAAAGGACACTTTTGTAATGCCCAAATTAAGTCTTATAACTATATACAATATTTTATGTACATTATAGGTATAAATATCATTAGGTATTTTTATCTTATATTTTTTTATTAAAATTTAAAATGAATGAAAATAGCTATATCAGGACGAATAAAACAATAAATTATTCGATTATAAATATTATTTTTATTAATTATTATATTTCCATTGTATTAATCATTATATATAAAAAGTATTTCTTTATGGAAGATTAATATTATGTAAAACTTACATTTTTTATTTATTGTGTTTGAATTTTAAACGATTAAAGATTTCATTACAAATACAATATATACTACACTGGAAAAATTTTTTTCCAGTAATAGCACATTAAAAACATTTATTTTATAATAATTTTACATGAATTAAAAATCCATGTTCATTTATTATTTATATCATTATTTTTTTGTATTTACATAACTTTAAATTATTCAATTATGAAAGTTTTATTAATGAATTTTTTAGCCTTTATCTTTAATATCTTATATCATAATGATATAGTTTAACAATATTTACTACTTTAAATTTAGGAATATGAATGATTAAAATCAATAATTATATTTAAAGATAAAATACAAACATATTATATTGATTTTTGTTATATGAAACTTAATAGATTATTGAAAATTTGCATGAGCGTATTCAATTTTGTAATAAATAGTATTCTAATTATTTTAAGTTGAGAACTGCAATGAAATATTTTGCTTTATTTTTCATAATTTTGATTAGAACTGTATATATTACAGAATACAATTTTATTTTTAAATTAAATCTAGTCATTATATCAGATTTCTACTTACATCAGACTTCGCAAATATAGTGTGATCATGTTAATTGGTTAAATTTATTTATTCGTGATATATTTATATACATTTATTATTATATTTTCTTTGTTTTCTCTTAATAAATGTTATAACCGAATTGAATAATTTCATTGCATCTTTGCTTTATTTTTTTTAAGTTTCATAGTCTGGAAATATTATTAAGAATTTAATATTTAATATTTAAAAAAGTAACTCACTTTATTTTAAATAAGAAAAAAAATTAAATTATATTTGCACGCATACATATCATATTAAAATACTATATAATATAGTTTCTCACTTAATATAAATTATAATGATGATGAATAAATTAATTCAATACTAGATAAATATTTTTTTTTTTATTTATAAATAATGTATATTAATAATATCATTATTAAGAATAATTAGTATCATAACATTACGAATAATCACGTAAGTTAGAATTACATTAACGTGAAAATGCTTTTAACATATTTTAAAAATATTATTATATGAACAATACCTGAATAATACATATATTTTAAAAGTCTAAAATTTCTTACATTATAAATCAAATTATTATAATTTTTATTCAATCGATTAGTTTAATGTATTAATTATTATTAGTTAATAATTTATCTGTTTGATTACTATTAGTATTAATAATATTCTTGTTAGTTTTAGTTTCAAATTATTTAAAAGTTTAATATTAAATTACAGAAAGATATAAATAATAAATGTATTACCTAATTCTTAGTTTTGTTAACTTGAATAAGAAAGATTAAATGTTAAGATGAATGACTGTTCATTTTGATAATGATAATTAAAAGAGAATACAACCAAAAATTATTATTACCGTCAATTTTTGAATATATTACATATGTCGTTATTAGTTTTTTAATAAGAATTTATCTTCTATAATCAAATGATTTTTATAAAATATGTCGTTCTCAATATTTGTGAGATTAAAGTCGATACGCTTTTAATACAAATTATTTATGTACAAATTAGGTATCCACCGATTTGTTATTTGCATTTTAGAAATTTGAAAATGGAGAGCATTTGTAATGAGTTAGACTTACTGCTATCAATGTCTATGGGAGATTCCATTACAGATTATTACATAGATTTTTCGCAAAAGTGTATCGTTATCACAATAAATGAGAAAGAGCGTGGAACAAAAAATGAAACTTTTGGAGAAAATACCTGCAATGATGAATTTTGTTTTTTTTTTTTCATTTTGTTTCAGAAGGTAAAGCGATGTGAGTGTTTTAAATGCACATTGCCGGAAGCAGGACGGCGTCTTGACGTCGAATTTTTAACTTGTAAAAGAGTGAGCGACCGACTAGGAGGTCGAAGGCCGTATAAAGACGTAGAGGTGTGGAGGCCACGGCAGACGTACTCAAGCTGCGGAGCAGGAAAAATCAATGGCCAGCAGTGCCCATGGGCGGCCTGGCGTTTAGGACGCGAAACAGTCCCTCCCAGAAGACTTCGCTCCGGTGGGGCGATTGTTGCCCTCCAAATCTGAGGCCCCCGACAGTGGTGGCTTCGGCTCCTACGACAATTACTCAGAGTCTTTTTTACTTGTCGCTGGGAGCCAAGACCAACCTACATTCGTCAGCTCTCTTGAGGAAGGTCAGGAGACGCCGGGACATGACACCTTTTCCTGTTTGAGGTTGTCCCCCACTGTTGCGTGACTGCACACCAAGGGTCCTTCAAAGGTATCTCTATGTTCTCTCCCTTTCCCCCTTCTCGCTATGATATGTATGTCGATAAATATGCAATATATATATATATATATATATATTGCATATATATCTATATATATATATATTGCATATATATCTATATATATATATATAGAGAGAGAGAGAGAGAGAGAGGAGAGAGAAAGTTCATATTTACTCGCAATTACTTTGAGGAGCTCGAAGGTTGCTCGCTCGATCGATCATTCAATTAAGCTACTTATATTAACTTTAAATATTTAACTGTAGATATTTTAAATTATCTTTAATATAAAAAATAAATAATATTTTTGCGAATGTATTTACTTTTAATAAGTAGGCTCATCAAAAGTTCTAGTTTTACTTTATAAAGAGCTTTTACCTTCTTTATTGATTTTTTTTTAAAATAATTTTTCTATAATGTCATTGAAATCTTTCTTTCTTATTGATTAACTGTTGTTATAATGACCCAATTTTCTTTCAATACAGAATTTCATTGTTCATTGCTCGTCTCTACAATAAAAAGTGCCTTATAATTTCTCTGAAGAGTTAAACTTACATTTATTCGTGTTTTCATATAATTTAATACTTTATTTAAGTTTTTTTGTTAATGATGGTTTTTTGATTTTATTTATTATATTTTGAAAATAATTTTATGATAAAATATAGATGACAATTGGTATTTTACTATCTTTTATTAAAAATTCGTAAAATCACTACTGATATTTAAAAGTATAAAAATGGCCGATCCAAAAAGTAACACATTGTTCAGTTTAGGTAAAATTTATTATTTTTAATTAAATTTTTAAATAATAGATATTTTAAAATTTGAAATATCGAATTTTTACAAAAGTTGTTTATTGACATATTATTTTATTTATAACTGATAAAACATTATTATCTACACCAACGTAAGTAATCAATCTAAAATTTACTAAAAACTTGATTCAATATAATAACTTTATTCATTCATTATTAAAATAATATATAACATAGTAAAATTGTATTAAACATCTAGATTAATTAAATTTAATTAAATTTATATATTTAATGACTAAATCAATAAATAAATATACCAAAATCATACATAACAAATTTTATGAAATTTTTAAAATAAATCGAACTGGAATAAATATTGTATAATTAAAATGTTATATATATTTGTAATACTTAATTTAGTATAAAAAATTATTATATGATTTATTTATAGAATTCAATTATGCATTTTATTTATTTTATAACAAAATATTTTCAATACATAATAATAATAATAATAATTATTATTATATAGAAATTTAAGAAATTAATAAAATTATAATATGTTCTTTTAACTTCCTTATTCTTAATAATAGGTACATGATTTAAACAAATTATGTATATTATATTGAAATTTTTTATTATGCATTATATTAAAATATTTTTAAATTATATATATATATATATATAAATATATTCCAATGTATACATGATTAATAAGTATATTGTATACTAAAATAATTTTTCATGCTTTTATTGAACAAAACAAAAACATAAATTGTTTTTTAATTTATCAATATAATAAAAAAGGAATACGTATATCGAATCAAAATGTATCGTAAAATAAAGATAAAAAACTTTATTGCAATAAAGTATTAAATTTTCAAGATATTATCAATGTTATTATTTTTACTAAATTGTGAGCAAGTATGAAAATAATATATATAATAATTTAATTTAAAAATACTTGTAAAATATGTTAATTAGTTATATTATATTACTTTATTCGCAATATTAGTTATCTATATGTCATATATTTATTTTAATAATTAATTTCACTTTGCAATTTATTAAAAAATATTTATTTAAAAGATAATTTTTTATTTTTTTATCTACTTATATTGTAAAGTATATTTGCTTTTCGCATAAAGCTACACTAAATCTAAGTTTTCTATGGTACAATAATATCTATATGGTCTATATCCATTGCATCACTAGACAAGATAAGTAGAGCCTGTAAATATAAAATGCAGTAATACATTTTTAATGTGCATATATAAGAAAATTTATAAGGATAATAAAAGAGGCATTTTAATATGTAATGATTCTTAATATAAGTTTTTGTTTCGCCATTTTAAAAACAATATTTTCATTTTATTATCTCAAACTGAAATATCCTATTGTCGTTCCAAAACTCCAAAATTCCAAACTTTATTAAATATACCAATTATATTTGTTTAATACTCTGGATACAATAACATTACTGATTGATATAATTAGATGTGCCATTTGTAAGTACAATGGAGTAAAATATAAATTTTGTAGATACTTCATGATAGTGCTACGAGTAATAATTTCTCTAAATTCAATAAAATCGAGTCATTTTGTTTAATTAATTTACAGGCTCTTAAATATGTAGACTGAACTAGTATCGAGGAATTAATGTATAGCTGCTAAAAAGGTCTTATTTTTTAAATTCAATTACCTGCACGGTTTTGAAATAATGAAATATATATTTTTTTCTGATTTAAATATTTTTTTGTATATTATACAGTTATATGTATGAAATAGTATATAAAACATACACGATTAATTACTAAATTTTCAATATACAATATTAAAATATTTGTATATAAAAATTATTTTTATATTTATAAGTTAATTTTACTCATATATTAAAACTTCGATTTAAGAGTTCAGTATTTCATAAGTGATACAATAATAAGAAAAATTTTTTCGTTACTAAATTCAGGTTTTCGAACGTTGGAAACTCTGTTCACCTACCAAACCTCTCAAACTTGGGTCTGCAACAATTAGAGTACTCACCAGTCGAACTAACAACACCGAAGATGATTAACATAGCAGGGGTCGTATCAATCATCCTTTTTTATATGATGATTTTAGGTGTAGGAATATGGGCAGCTCGAAAGAAAGAACCTGGAAACGACTCCGAGGAAGAGGTGATGCTAGCGGGTCGCTCCATCGGCCTTTTTGTCGGTATCTTTACGATGACGGCAACCTGGGTAGGAGGGGGTTACATCAACGGCACCGCTGAGGCTATTTATACCAACGGTCTCGTCTGGTGTCAAGCACCCTTCGGCTACTCCCTCAGCCTCGTTTTCGGTAACCGAGTTACATTTTCGCCTTGTACCCTTGCTTTGCTCTCTGAACGTATCCCCGGGGGGTAGGGGTCGGCCTTAGATTAATACACTTTGTCTCTTGACTTAGACAAAATTGTCTTTACGACTTGATTATTAAACCTTATTCTTCCTTCGACTTAACATTTACCAGGCAATGATATCATCCATTAACTGATATTTCATTTGATATTCAGATTTACTGTTTTTTCTTCTTTTAATGTTACTTTATTTTTATAAGGTAATATTTATATTACCTTATTTATATAATTATCATTTATATAAATATCATCTATATAAATAAATACAAACATATAAATATCATGTATATAAATATCGTCAATTTATATAAATATCCTTATTTATATAATTTTTTGTACATTATATCTTTATATAAATATGCATTTTATTTTATTTGTGACTATTTAACTTGCAACTTATTTCAAAATTAATAGTTTTTTAAGATTTAAATTTGTTATCTATTATATTCAAAAATGATTATATCAACGTATATTGCAAACATCCGAATTTTTATTTCATATATTCAAAAGCGCAGTGATGATAAAAAAAAGTTAAAAGTTCTATAAAAAGTATATTAAAATATTGTTTTACAAGTATTCTGAATTAATAATTGTTTGTTTAAAAAAAATACATAAATGAAATAAATGTCAGTAATACTTAATAGAACATAGATATTTTTACAGTATTACAACGCGTATCGATGAAAAACACAGATGCGATTGTATTGATTTACGAGGCTACGTGCGTGTAGGTTATTTCATATTACAATTCAGTGTTTACTTGCACGTATTTTTCAATTCATATTAATAGATTGATAATTATACAGAATGTATTTACCAAGGTAATGATATGCGTAATAGTTGAAATTTTGGTTGGTGGTTTTTTTTTTACGAAACAGGAGGAATATTCTTTGCGAACAAGATGCGACAGCAAGGATACATCACAATGCTAGACCCACTTCAAGACGTATTTGGTGAGCGAATGGGTGGACTTCTCTTTCTACCAGCTCTTTGTGGCGAAGTATTCTGGGCAGCGGGCATACTTGCAGCTCTCGGTGCAACTCTAGCCGTTATCATCGACATGGACCAAGGAACATCAGTTATACTGAGTGCCTGTATTGCTGTCATGTATACATTATTCGGTGGTCTCTATTCTGTTGCGTACACTGATGTTATTCAGCTTTTCTGCATATTCATTGGACTTGTACGTTATTTCTTCATTTTTACAATTTATTAATTAATTTCTTAAAATTATAATAATATTTGTTAATTTGTAAATGTTTAGTTTTTTTTTTAATTATAATTCTCAACTATTATATTGACAAAAAAGGAACTTGATTTCTAAAATATAATATTTAATTTATCGCAGAGTTCTAGACAATTTTATTGTTATTTTTTAATCATCGATGAATCTTTTTTAATATCTAAAAGATATAAAAAAAATTATAAACATATTTGAAAATCTTTTTTTTACAAAAATTTAGAAACATTTAAATTTTATTTCCTAAAAAAAAAACAAAATTTTTAACATATCTTCATAATAAAAATGAACAAAATTTAAACATTAACGATTTAAACATTAAATAAATCATCAATTAAATACTTAAGTACTTAAATATTTTGGAAAATAATGATATATTTCTTCTCTTATTTTGTTTTACTCTATTCATAATCAATAACTATATTTAATGTACTTGTAATCATTAATTACAGTATTGTTTTATTTTTAAAGCTAAACTTGTTTAGCAATATTAATATTATTTGCATCAAAAATATAATTTTGAAGATAGTACTATAATTATTATGTGATTTGTCTAAATTACAATTGTTTGGTAATTAGGACGTAATAATAATACTTACCCTCAATAATAGCATAATAAAATTCCTAGTATTATTAAATTGTTATTATAGTTAAATATTTATAACAATGTCTTATTAAGAATAGTTTTTCAACTATAGTACTAGTATTATAACAATAAATTAATTTTTTGAAAGTTTATTTATAATTATAAATCTTGAAATAATTAGCAATATATTATATAAAATAGAAAGTTTGTAATTTAAATTGTTTTATTATAATGCTTTTACTATTATAAAATCTATCTGGTTATAAAAAATGACTAAATTGAAAAACACAAGTATATTTACTTTAATAAATTCATTTTCACGATTTTCTTACTTTGAGTTTGAATAGAAATCTAAAAATCTATATCTTATAATTGAAGTCTTTTCAATATATTTCAGAATATATTAAATAATTGTAAGTATTTGATCGATTAGACCATACTTCCAAATTAAATTTTATTTAATAATAATATTATTTGCAGGTCCCTTAATTCATTAATTAATACTACTTTAAATGTTTGTTTTCAAAAGTTAATATAGCGACGTGTTATTTTTAAAAATTAAGTTTATAATTCACTAGTGCCAGATTTCATTATTACAAGAATTACTATGAAATACTAATATTCGATTCATATATTTGATAGAAATGTTATAAAAATAGTCGTTTCATATTTGATTTAAAGATACACTCATTTTTCTGTTATTATTATCATGTCTGTTTTATTTTCAACATTATCATTTTTAATTATATGACCACGTATTAAACATTAAAATTTAGAACGCTTTATGAATTTTAATAAAAAATTGTTAATCATTTAATTAGGCTATACTTTAGATTTCAATTAATTATTGCTCGGTAAGAAATTTTAGAAAAAAATAATGAAAATTTTCGTAAAGGAATTTAAATATTTATTATAAAAATAATTTGATATATAATTATATATTTACTTAGATAATATATTTGCCTATGAGTAAATATAAAATTTCAATAAAAATGAATTCTTGTAAAACATAATTGATATAAAAATAGAAAAAATGTATTAAAGAATGTTAAGTAATCTGACATTAAAATTAACTAGAGTATATTTTAATCTAAATATTCTTATGTTTCATTGTAAAATGAATATATTAAATTCTATATATTTATTACAAATTATAAATAAATATATTACAAACATAATAAATATATTATAAAAACTGAAAATTTCATTTGAAAAATTCTATTTTTTAAAATACTTATACAGAAAATAGAATTTATGAGTAAATTTTGAAGAAATATATATGTAATGATAGAAATTTTATCTTTTTTATTATACTTTATTCTTGTTTAAATACATCGAATATGTAGTTTATTATATATAAATTGCAATACACAACTAACAACTATTGGGAATAAAAACAATTGTTGGTTTTTAAGTACATTATGATTTATTAAACCTTTCATTTTAACTGATGGAATTATATATACAAATATTTATTATCATGAAAATTTATTGTTTTCATAATAGTATTGGTGCATGTAATAGTTATTTGTTTTTTAAGAATAAAATTTATTAAAATCAATTCGTTTCGATTATATATGTTAAATACATGTGTGATGTATTTGCATAAAAAAATAGTTTCTTACTTTCAATATTTTCTTATTTTGTTAAGATAGTTAGAATATATATGAAAGAGAGAGAGAGAGAGAGAGAGAGAGAGAGAGAGAGAGAATTGAAAATTTGCGAGATAGTTCGATTTTAGTACATTGCATCTATTATTTTAATATAAAAATATTATTTATGAAAAACTCTATCTGTAACTCTTTTTCTATATACTTTAAATTACCAAATAGAAAATAGGGTAATTACTGACTAAATTTAACTAATAAAGACAATAGTTAAATTATATATATGTATATATATCAGTGTGATTTGAAATAAATTTTTATTCTAATTTTGATTGCAAGAATGGTTTGACATATTTTATACAATGTATTCAGATCAATAAAATAAAAATGTTATTTTTTTGTGAAGATTTTTTGTTTGTAAAGATAAAAAAATTGTTTTAAGCAAATTAATTATTATAAATTAATTTTTTTTATAAGTTAACACCTATTTAATATAAAAAAAAAATTAAATTTAAATATCTTGATCAAAACCATTTATTAGTAAGCTAAATATTGTGTTTTAGAAAATTCAAATTCAATTTAAATAATATATTAATTCTAATTTAAACTGATTTTAGAGAATAAATTTTATTTTATTCAAAATAAGAATCATGTTTAAATAGATTTATTAAGCAATTCTTATAAACAATAATTATGCAAATAATACAAGTTTTTAATTAGTAGCCGATTACAAGTATCTCTTTACTACTTTTTTATTTCTTAATACTTCTATATTATGTTGCATTATAAATTATTTTAAAATTTGACACATAAAATATAAAAAAAAGTTTCCTCTTGAAAATTCAAATTCTCTTAATTGCAGTTCTTCAATTAGAATATTTTTGTAAATCATTGTCTTTTTTGTATGTAAATTAAATATGTCGATGTATGTATGTATGTCAATAATGTACAGTGTCAATTCTCTAGAAAAATACACAAGTATTTTTATTGTGTTTTGTAATTTTGATTATTAAAAGTATTACATACAAGCAAATCAAATGCAGTACTTATATTCATGTTTTTTTATCTTTGAAATTAAATATGCGTATGATACTTAATTAATTATAACATACTTGGGTTCTTCTTTTTTATTTTTTACGTATGAACTTTCTACCAATCTTAATCTTCTACCGATATTTAGAATTTTGAATAAGATACAAAATTCTACGGTTACTCTCACATAAATGGATATTATTTAAAACTATAAAATTATATTGAAAAATTACAGATTTATAAAAATCTCAGTAAACTTAAAATTTAATATTAAAAATTACGTTAGTAAAGGTCGAGGACAGAGATAAGGACTTTTACATATTTGAATAATTCATGTAATAGGAGAAAATTAATTTAAAAATAATTCGAATATTTTTTTGTTCACCAAAATTATGTATAATATTTAAAAAATAACTTCTGCAGCTTGATATTTAAATTAAAATTATATTTAATCTTATATATATGGAAAAGTTTTTTTTATGAAATTTAATGTAAAATTCATTTCAAAAAATTACTCCTATTACTTGAAAATAAAATCTAAGTATTTTATGTTATAGCACAAACTTTTTTCTTTCACTAATTGTTAAATGGGAAATTATTACATATTAATACGTATAATTAAATATATTTATAATTGTTTTAATATTTAATTAAAATTAAATAAAAATAAAAGTTGTTTCATTTTTTAATACATATAAATTTAAATATTAAATATAAGTCTACAATTATAATTTGATGATTATCGTATAAAAAAAATGCTTTTTTCATTAAATATTTCAGTGGATGTGTATTCCTTTTGCTTGGGCCCATCCAAAAGTACAATCTTTGAGTTCGATGGATGTTGATTGGATCGGTTTTGTAAGCCCTAAAGAATATTGGTCTTACTTAGATAATGGATTACTTTTGATTTTTGGTGGTATTCCATGGCAAGTTTATTTTCAAAGAGTTTTATCTTCAAAATCTGCCGGAAGAGCTCAAATACTTAGCTATGTAGCTGCTGTTGGTTGTATTCTCATGGCAGTTCCACCTGTTTTGATCGGTGCTATTGCTAAGGCTACTGGTAAGTTTTATTTCCATATTCTTTCAACTAAAACATTTCTTTAACATAATTTATATTCAAATAAAAATATTATATATTATTAATTATTGAGTATCTATTAAGCAACCAAGTTTTGTAATAAGAGGTGAATACATATTACAACATATTTGAAAAATTAAATGCACAAGGGCAGAAAATTTAATCAGTGTCTCAAATTTTATAATCCTTCCTAATATGGAATTATATAAAACAGTATTAATTTAAAATGTCTTTTATTTATAAAATAAAATATTTATAATATAGAAATTTATTTTACTGTTTTAACATTTTTTTTCAATTTTTTTTTATAATAACATAAATGAAATAATAATAGATATAGAACAATATGTAAATAGTAAAAATAAAATAAAAGAATAAATAGACATTTATTGTAAAGTATAAATTCAGTTATATATATTTATTATAATTACCGTTATGCAAATAATAAATGTATTATAAAATACAGATGAAAATGTAATATATTTTACAATGATATATTAATATAAATAAAGGAAATTAAATGTAAATAAACGATAAATATTTCCAGTCTCATTGTCTCTCTCTCTTCCTCGCTGTATATACTATAATAATGTATATTATTAATAATTTATTATTATATTATATACATAGTATATCTTAATAGAAAATATTTTTTTAATAAAGTTGTGATATTCTGGTAGCTGAGAAACATATTTCGAAAAAACCTTACAATCGATAAAGTACAAGAAGTTATTATTGTATTAATCGTGTATTTGTTACAATACAAGATAAATACGAATATATATAGGCGAATAAATCGCATAAAAATTTTGTATGACGATTTAAAAATTATGGTCCATTGGTATATGAAATGATATATAAAAAATTTACAATGCTATAAACCATTCGCTTTTTATATCTGATGGTTTCAATTAAAAAGTACAAGATTGCAATAAAGTTAGGCCATGACATAACTAATTATATATGATTAGTATAAATGAATTAAAAGTGAACTTATTTATCATTAAATGAAATTTAGCGAATGATCCTTATTATAGGAGTACAATGTATAATTGAGGCTTTACTATATTAATTTGTTTTTCATTGACAAATTTATTAATAATAAATTGTTTATCATATATTAAAAGTACACCATTTATATTTTAGGATTATATAAATTAAAAATTAAAAATATGAAATATATTTTTAAGTATTTTTTAATCATAGATTATTTCATACAGCAAAATAATTTTATAGCACATACACAAAACGTAATTTTAAATATTTCATCAATTTTAAAATCACATTGAATAATTAATCATAGAACATCTTAGTTTTAGTTTAAAAATTAAGAAAAAAACATATATAAACATATATATGAAATCGTAACTTATTTTATGCTCGAATCTATTAATATTTCATAGAACACAAACAATATTTTCCAAAAATTAGTTTTTTTTTTTTAATTTTTGACGAAATTTTAACGTAACTCTTTAAATAATGTACAGATCTAAATAACAGCATATCTTAATAAGTATATTTTTATAATAACAGGTAAGACAATTAATGTAGTTTGTGTTTGAAAAAGAAACCTAACCAACTTTTATAGAACAACCAATTTACTGTGTAAAAGTAATTATATTTATTTAACGATTATATTCAAGCTTATAGAATGTAATATTAATTAAATTTATCTTCTATTATCTATTGTTGTATCGAATTTACATTTAAATTTTACTCTAAGGGTTTTTGAAAAATTACAAAAGATTAGGTTCATTTTTCAGCTCAAAAAACGATTCAAATTTATTCACATAACTAGACGCGGTCGATAGAAGGGGGTTAATAAAAGTTTATTCTTTAAAATGGAAGATATTTGTATTGTTATTATGGCAATATATTTTTGCGTGTACAATTGACGATACACCGATAATGATTAAATGTTCAATTATTTAAGCATTTTGTGGCTAAATTATAAACACGCTTAATTATTTCGCGTTCCAGCCATAATGCAAGCTTTTCTCCTTCTGCCAATCACTGAGCACGCCACATGCTCCGGTTCGTATGGACTTGCTCCCCTTTCATTGTACCCTCACACATCCCTACTTTACATAAATACCAGCGATGGATATATGCTCTGTAAAAACGAGCGCTTGGGGAATGAAGGAGAATGAAAGAGCGCGAAAGAAGAGAAGGAAAAATGAACCCCTTACTTTATATACAAGTTCCGTTAAAATGTCAAGTAGCCAATGAATATTGTCATTGGCATGTATGATCTGTTCTATGGAACGCATATGTCAACAAGGGTTTTTGCTTCAGTTCAAAGCCAAGGAAAACAATGGGGCCGGGTAGGCTCACACGGTATGTGCTCACACGGGGTTGAAATAATGCGTTATATATAGTAATATATAGTAAAAATTAGACAGATGATAATAATTAGCATGCGTTATCCAGGCATGCATTCTTTGGGGATAACCTTTAAAAGAATTTTAATTTACTGTTTAATTTTACAATTTTATATTGAATGAATCTTCAATATCGGAAATTAATCATAAATATTGAAAGCTAATAATTATATTAGAAAAAAAATATGAACATATTTTTCTTTATAAATAATAGGTTTGCTGATTTATTTTATAATGAATCTATATTTATAAACTTAGTTTTACGCTAATAAAATTTGCGTAATACGCTATATAATAATAATATTATAACGGCTCAAATATAGAAAGTACAACAAATTTTTATTATTTCATATAATAATATATTAATGCTTTATTATTATTATTATTATTATTATTATTATTATTATTATTATTATTATATATCTCTTTTAAATTATAATGAGAAATTTAATATAATTATTTTAATTTTATAAGATCTATGTAATTGTAGGAACTAGTGTCAGTAGATATACATAGTTAAAAAATTGATATTTAAAATTGATATAATGGAGCTTAGTGAGGGGGGGAGGGAAGAAAGAGAGAGCGAGAGAGAGACTATAAGTAAAAGGCAACCATGTATAGGAATGATAAAATGGAAACTTAGAATTAAAAATAGTTTATTTTAAAATTAAATAATCGTAATAAAACAGATAATGCGAAATGTATGTCCTTATTCTGTTATGTTACAGCGTGGAACGAAACTAAATATACGGGTCCTTATCCACTTACAAGTGCGGAGACCAGTATGATTTTGCCGATGGTGCTACAATATCTCACACCAGATTTTGTTTCATTCTTTGGTTTAGGTGCTGTTTCTGCTGCTGTTATGTCATCTGCTGATAGCAGTATTCTTTCAGCTAGCTCAATGTTTGCTAGAAATGTTTACAAACTTATATTTCGTCAAAGGGTAATTCTTTACTATAAGTTTCTTTCCGCGATAATTCATATTACATTCATATAATAGTACTGAATTTTTTCTGTATTATTATATTCATAGTACAAAGTGTATAAAATATTTTTTAACTCATAAATTACAATGAATTAATATTTTTGTTTATTTCTTATCAATCATTTATTTTAATTTGTAATTAATTTTATTTTTTAGGTATACGTATAGACTCACTCATCGATTCATCCATACATCCCGAACACACACACACGCGCACGAACACACTAAAATCTTAAAGATTAACCTATTTTATAATTAAATTAATTTTTATATACATTTTCTTTTTTAAAAAGTCAAAATAACTCGAATAAGTTAAATGAATAATTATTTGCATGAGAATATTAAAGACGGCATAATATGAAAAAAATGTTTCGCTCTAACTTATCTTAGGCTTCGGAGATGGAGATTATCTGGGTAATGCGAACGGGTATTGGAGTGGTTGGCATTCTCAGCACAATAATGGCACTGACAATCCCGTCAATCTATGGGCTCTGGTCGATGTGCTCGGATCTAGTCTATGTAATCCTGTTCCCACAACTTCTGATGGTCGTCCATTTTAAGTCCTATTGTAATACTTATGGAAGCCTGACTGCATATATAATTGCTTTCGTTATTCGGATAAGTGGTGGTGAGCCAATTATAGGTCTACCAGCGCTAATACGCTTTCCGGGCTTTGATGAAGAAAAGAATGAGCAAACATTTCCTTTTCGAACTATGGCTATGCTCATTTCACTTGTAACCCTTGTCGGGGTTTCATATGCTACACAGATCGTCTTCCTCAGCGGCAAACTTTCTCCGAACTATGATATATTTCGATGTATCGTCAACATACCAGAGGATGTTGAGAGAGTTGGACCTGATCCTGCTGAGGTCTGTTTTAAACTTATTTATTTCTTAAAATGTATATTAATGTACGATAGAAATATTAAAATTCGATATTTATAAAGCATATATTCAAATAATTAATATTGCTATGATTTTTATATGATATTTAATACTATTCTGCACTTCATACATTTCTTAGTAAAAATCTAATTTGTTTATTTTTATTAATTAGTAATTTATTATACCAATAATTTATTTATATATGTTTTCGCGCACGTATATGAATCCATTATAATGAAATTGACAATAATTAATAATAAAGAAAAGATAAAATAAGGTATTAATGTAAAACTTTTTACAATATTCATATATTTTAATATAATCTGGAAGTACATGTCATTTACAGTAATAAAATAATACCTTTTATTCAATCAGTAGTTATTTCAACATCATCATGTAAATGTATACTTGGGCAATTAGTTCTTTTATATAATATAATTAAACTATATTAATTGGTTTGATTTTATATTTAGCATTTAGCAGTTGCCTGAAAGTATGAAAATGACGCGATAAAACTTTAATGCCTATGTTAAATTTTTTGTACGCAAGTTTTCGTTTCATAAGAAGTGTACGTGTAAATCGCGATTTTGCGGTTTGCTTATGATGTTATAGGGTGAGCAAATGGCAGTCCTCGCAGCCGGTGCCGGCAGGCTTTATGGCAGTAAGGACGAATCAAACGGGCGAGTGAATCCAGCACTCGAGCCGGACTACGACATGGAGCCGAGTTATCCAGGGGTGGACCAGGCAGCGCCCGGAAGCGGCGGCGGAGATGGCGTGGTTGCGGCACAAGCCGGGCCCCATCACAGCGTCATCGCGGTCCCCGGCACGCGCCATACTCAGAACAGTACCGCCTTCTAATCGCGGACTCCGTGATCGAATGCTGTGACCAACAATAAACGCGGCGGCGCGGCCTATTATGCACCTAAGCTTTATTTTTGATTTTTTTTTCCACCCTATTCCACAAAAACTAAGCTTTACCTTTATCATAAATAAAATTTAAAATGTGGTAATCTTCAATTGTTTTCTCCTTCTCGTGATTCATCTATTTGTCAGATTTAAAAGTTTATATTTTTCAATGATATTATTTGAAATCGAAGAAATATTTTCGTAATTTATTAAATTCAACCATATTATTATTCACTGCAAATTTGAGTCTGTCTCACTTTTTACAAATAATTTCTAAATATTTTAAAGAGCACAATATTAAGGTATTTTGTAATAATAATAATAATAATGTTCGTCCACTCTTCATTTACCGTAAGCTTCTATTTTATTATATTTATTTTTCTAAGTGATTTTTTTAGAAACCTATATATTTGTTTTCGTAATAATGTTCCAATCCAGACTATCATCATGTCTTATTAGAAATTCTAAAACAAAAAACTTTTGCTTTTTATCTGGTAACATTTTAATGAAAAATTAATATTTTATTTTATTCAAAATCTTTGCACATTTTACTATAGCCAAATTAATTTATGTAATATATTTTAAAAAATTCTAAAGTATATGTTTTAGAATATCTTAAAATAGATATTTTTAAAAGCCGCGTCGCCTCTTAGGCCTAGAAAATTATATCGTTTTTTGTAACATATAAATTATATAAGGACATATTAATAGTTTACCAAAATGCTTTACAAAATTTTACGTTAAAAAATAATAATATATCGGCCAATTTGCCAATATTTATATTAAAAATCGTTATCTGTACAATAAGTTAATTTTGTGTTTTAATAGTAATATATGAATATTTACGAACAATATATTGAAATGTTAATCATTTATTGAAATAATATTTTATTTATGAAAATGGTTACAACAAATTTAACGGTATAATGAAAAATGTATACACGAAGCTATTTTGAAAATACTCACGTGATTTTTGTTGAATCATCAAGACAATAGACATAAATATACTAGAAAACGTTTAGAAGGGTGCTTTTTTGTATAATTCTTACACATATAGTGGTTATTTCCCTCGCTTAAAAGTTCCTTTGGCTACTTTAAATAAGAGTCTAAATGTAAACGCGTATTTCATAAAGCGGTAAGTATAAATGTCGAAGGTTTGTAATTGCAAAAAACTTGTGACTATTTTTTATTTTTAAGAATTGATATAAATATACGATATTTTATTATGAGTCTTTATGCATTTAATATTTTCAGATTTTCTTAACAATTTTGAAATGAAAAAGTACCATATTCCATTTAAGTACGAAACAATATTATCTATATATTTATTTTTCTTGATCCGGGTTAAAAAAAAATAATTTCTATTTTAATCAAACCTATTGTAATCAAATCAAAATCGATTACAAATAATTTTGATAAGAATACTGTTATTTTTTATTATTATTTTTTTTTTAATTCTCTTTATTTACTTTAATAATTTTTTTCTTAAATATTTAAAATGCTGTATAAATGCATAATTATATGTCATTAATATTTTATATAAACATTACATATATACAAACATATATACACGTATACCTACAATTCCTGTTGGTAATTCCTACATATCAGTTTTTTTTTCATTTTATTCTATAAAATAAAATAAGGAAAATATTTTTAATAATTTTTGAAAATAATGTGTCAATATCAATTAATTAGACAATTATGTGTTAAAGTTAAAAGTTTTGAAAAGGAATATATGTCATTATTAATTAATTATTGTTTTACTTGTTCTATGGTCTAGAACAATGTTTAAAATGAGTTATACTTCGTTATATTTAAAATACTCAATCAGTGTACTGTGAATTATTTGTATCGTTTTGCTAAGAGATTCGCTTTTATATGATTCATATAAGTATTCATACAGTGACTCTTCAATTTACAAAATATTATCTTCTTTTTTTATATTCTGAATGTTTTTATTGAATGAATTAAAATTTATATTCAAATGAATTTTTTATTAATATTTTTAACAACATATATTAATGTTTAAATACTTTAAATGAACATAGTAGTGGAAAAATTAATTTTTATTTAATATTTAATAGTAAAATTTCAATTTTTCTATTATTGAATTTATGTTATAATTGTCAAATTATTTATTTATCAACAAAAAATAGTAAAAAAGAGATCATATTATAATATAAAGTAAAAATTTTAATATATTTTTCCTAAAGATTCTTTGTTTTACTTAAAAATCCAACTTTGAAATAGTCTTCCATTAATTTGAAAATATAATAAAATAATTTAATAAATCACAAGAAGTTTTTCAAACGTCTATAATTTAAAATCGAAACATATTTTTATGTTTGAAATTTTTTCATTGGTTTTTTTTTTCTAATTTGATAATATAGTTAAACATTTATAGAAGCAGCATTTAAATAAATATTAACTAATTTGTGTTTATTTAATTATCATAAAATGCTTTAAAGTATGTAATAATTAATATTAAATAAAGTTTCAGTTAAGTTCTTCTAAAAAATAAAAAAATGGTCTACATTCAAAAATTAAATTTATTTGAAATAATTTTTATATTCTATTTTATTGATTTTATATGGTAATTTTGTTCACGAGTGACTTTTCATAAGAATAACATATTTTTTTAGCAGAATATATAATGATGGATCAATTTTTAATCCAACTTGTTGAGTTTATTATATAGTGTATAAAAATAATTTTATATATGTTAAATGGAAAAAGTAACATAATGTACGCTCGCAATATGTACAAAAACTCCCTGCATATGAAAGTAGATATTTTAATGTCAATATAAAAGAGATAAATATGTATAGTGTTGTACGTGTAAGATTATTTGATTTTTTTATTAACATAAATTTAGTTACTGTAACTAAAATTATTCATTATAATTAGATTATGTATATCTGTACATATTTCAGTTTATTTATTTAAATTTATGTCGCATTGATTTTCTTCGTGTAAATAAATAATTCTAAACAGGGTGAATTAAAAAACCTTACGCTTCATTAAACGAATAAAAATAAATAATAAGAATATAAAATTAATACACATTATTTGTTCGATTTAAAAAATCTCTAAATTTATTGAAAAGAGATTTATTAAATGGGAAATAAATGTATTTATGAAAATGAAAGTAATTTATAGAAAAAATTACATAAAAAATTAACATAATTACGATAATTTAGAACTTTCAAGAAAATAGTTTTTATTAAAAAGAATGAAGAGTGAATAAGTTCTTAATTTAAGTTTATTTAATTTCATCTATTATTGATTGTTCCACTTTTGATGTTAATATTGATTAATATTATTAATGACTAATTGTTAAATATTATAATAAAGTACAGAATTAAATATGTCCTTGAATTATCAAATATAAGGATTATTTATTCATTGCCGTTAATAAATATAATGTTGGTATTGTACAAATATTAAAAAGAAAATATGTATATAAAATTTACATCATTTGTCATTCGGGATAGTAGATTAAAACATGCATTTTTATTTATTTTTATTAATATTTAAATATAATACAAAGATATTTTTAAATTATATTGTACTTTTGTGCATTCTCTAGTCGAATGATTTTGTTAATTTTACAAGATTTATTAAAAATTTCAATTCATTAATTACGAATATTCATAACAAAATTGAAAGAGGTATATGCTTACTTATTATCAATAAATAAGTATGCATGGAGATAATCCATTTATTATAAATTGATTATTTTATTATAAAATACATCCAAATAACGAAAAAATATTATACTAAGAATAAATACATATCAATGAGAAAAATGACTAACTACACTTTTATTTTTAACTAAAGTCAAATATATTGTATATTATATGTAAATTTAGTTTGTGACTTTTATGATATTTTGATAAGCTCTAAATTTAAAGTCTAATGTAAAGTATAAGAAAAATACATATCATGAAAAGTGTAAATTATTGTTATTAAAATAGATATCTTGAAATGTCAAAAACCAATATCATATAAAGTGAAGTCTGAAGGAGGTATATATATTAAGAAAAAAAAGTAAAAAGTCAAATAAATGAAAGTATATTCTTCAAATAATCTTTTATTTGATGCATTGATTGTATTACACTTTTTGTTAATTTTGGAAGTTTAAACAAATTGAAAAAGCCGTTTCGTTCAACTTTCAATTGAGTAATTTATTATTTTATAAAATTCATAATAATTGATAAATTTGACGTTTAATTTATATACAGTCAATTAATTAAATAAATGATCGAATAAATATTAAGAATATCTTTACAAAATCCATATTATTGGATTTTTTGAAATTTAAGTAATGTTACTATAATAACAACATGTACTATAAATATATGAAAATATAAATATATATAATCGTATATATATATTATCGTATATATCTATACGGTATTAGAATTATAAAGGCGCAGGAAAAGTCAAAATATGTTGATTGTCAATGTTAAAAATAAACAGTATATATAAAGAAATTTTCAGATTTTTCATTTTTTATCTTCTTTGATGCCTTATATCTCATACTTATTTATTTTATTCAATATCTTTCTTATCTTCTAGTTTTTTGTTGTATTTTTTATGCAGCAAAGAAAATTACATATAGAATACTATTTTTATGATCATACAACTATAAGATAAACTATAAGCAGTTAACTTCTTTTTAGAAAAGGTAAGAATATAATTAGTCTTTTACGTATTTATGAATTCTTGGGAGTTGAGTCAATAAATCGTGTAAATAACGAATAAGTGATTATTTAAAATAATAGTTATAATTAGAAGATAATGAACTTGTAACATGTAATTTCTTCATATAATTTTTTATATTTATATATCATATTAATTTTATGATTACAATTTTTTTAAATGAAAATGGAAATGATTTTTTTTAATATTTAATATTTTTATAATATATTAAAATAATATATTTTTTATATAACATGTATATAATGTCGTTAAAATTTATTGTATGATTGAGTACTATAATTGGGTGAGTGATAATTAAATATTGCATTTTATATGTAAAACTATTAATGATGAAAAATAATGTTAAAACTATATGAATTAAGTAATATGTTTTAATTTAAATATAATAAGAATGTATAACTTATAATATTAATACTTATATAGATAGAATTATACTTATGGCTTAACTTTAAAATATTTACTATATTTTAATATATATGTATTTTGCAAAATTAAATTGTCCATTGAGAATAGTTGTATTATTTACAAAATATATGCTTATGTACATTTTACCAAATTTATTAAAAATCAATTAACTGAGTGATTATTAACTTTTCTTATTTAATTATTTTGTCACTCATATTATTATATTATTATTTGATTTTTAGGTAGTTAAAATATAATAATATGCCATTTTCAATCATTTGATAAATATATCATACTACTTGACGAATTTTCTTCGTATCAAATATTATTAATTTAACATTCTTAATTTTTCGAAATTATAATCGAAATATTTATTAAAATTATCTTTACGGTTTCTTATTAATCCGATCATATTTATAATATAATATTATTGATTATAATTAATTAATATTTCATATTAAATTGTATAAATCCTTTTATATATATGGTACTTAATTAGCAAAGGATATAGGTCAAAGATCACATATGAAATAAGATGATTAAAAACAAGATATTTTATTTTTTTCGTTTTTTATATAATTATTATATTTATAATTGGTATAAAAATCACTCTTATATTATAAATAAATTACATTTAAACAAAAATTCTTTTTGAATTATTAAAATTCAAAATCCATTAAAATTAAAAAATTGTAAACTACAGCACTGTTAACACGCATGCTAATCGTTCGTATACATATCAAAGAAATAATTAAATGATTAAATTATCATTTTTATTGTAAAGAAACTTTTGAAAAAATCATATGTGAATTAAAAAACATCTCCAATTGTTTTTTTATGTAATTTTAAAATGGTGACAGCGTTCGTTAAAATCTTTGATCTGAAATACAAGTCACATTTGATCTTGAAATTCAATTTCTCAAATTTGTGGACTTTGAAATTTATTTACGTTTTAAATTAGTATTGATAACCTCCATTGCTAGCATAACTCTGTCCACCTCCACTGCTGGGAGTACCGTAGTTAGTCGATGGTCGACCCACTAAGTTTGAGCTTTAAGTAAAATAGTATAATTATTACGTATGTAGATAAAAATGATGCATATGCAGACAATTATTTATGAAAATAAGTATGAAAATATGTAATTTTTGAATTTTAAATACATTATTGTATTTGGAGTAGCTTTATAATTTATTTCGATTAAAACTTATTTTTCCATGTATAAAATATTTATTCGACTATTTAGTCGAAATTATTTAGTATATTTTACTTTTAGAATGGTTTTAATTTTTTAAAATTTAATTTAAGATTTTTTAATTTTATCGAGGCTATATTTATGTTTATGTTAATAATATTTGAAGTTAAATTGATCAAAATTGAATACACATTATTAATTATTTATTTTAAAAAAATTAATGAAAAAGAAAAAATTTTACCCGTCATTGAAGCTAGGAGCTCCGTAGTTTGAAGAAGGTGCACCACCGCCAAAAACACTGCTACCTCCATTAGTAGGGGCACCATAGCTGGAAGACGGACGACTGGGTGCACCATACGAGGATAAAGGTGCACTGTTTAAGGATGAAGATGGACCGTTTCCAAAACCACTGCCAAAACTACTGCCAAAGCTACCACTGGATGGTGCACCATAGCTAGATGAAGGACGTCCGCCTCCATGTCCACTGTTACCGCCAAAGCCATTGCCACCTCCGATAGCCGGAGCACCATAATTCGAGGAAGGACGATTTGGAGCACCATAAGCGGATGATGGACGAGAGTTGCCAGGAGCACCATACGAGGATGAAGGTGCGCCGCTTCCAATACTTCCGCTTACAGATGGAGCACCGTAATTTGAAGATGGTCTGCCACCAGAGTGTCCACCACCATTTCCAAATCCACCTCTCCCACCGCCACCATTAAATCCTGAAATTATAATAATTTTTCGATACAAATTATAAATTTGAAAGCAATTTGATAGAATCAGAAATATCATATTATTATTATAGAAATTACTTACCTGAAGATGGTGCACCGTAGTTTGATGATGGACGGGGTGGAGCACCATAGTTCGAGGATGGACGGCTTGGGGCATTATATGAGGATGAAGATGCACCACCTAAGAAATCATTTTCAATTTTAGTTATATAAGATTAAAAATTTGGAAATAATTTTTTACAAATTATTTCAACATTTTCAAAATCTAACTTTTGTACTATAATTATAAAATTGCTAGCATAAGTTAAAAAGTAAAAAGGATATTTTATTTTCGTTGATTCCTATATTCCTTAATTATTATTGTTAATTAAATAATGAAAAGTTATAAAAATACAAGATACTACAGAAATGTCACCATTGCCGTTACTTAATGAACCACTAGCTAATAGAGCTCCATAAGATGAAGAAAGTGTAACACTACCGAATCCACTGAAGGATCCACCCGATGGTGCTCCATAGGAAGGAGAAGGTACTCCTCCGCCGAAACCACCTCCAGATGAAGGTGCTCCATAGTTTGAAGAAATAGAGCCACTACTAAAACCACCACTGTTACTAATACCGAGGTTTGGTGTGCCGTAACTAGTTGATGGTGGTAAGTAACTTCCGGAAATGGGTGCTAAAAATACATTTTGTCTTTTAATTGCAGTATAATTATTAACTGCATACATATATATGTATTTATATCATACATCTATAGAAAAGAAACATGTTAGAACAGATTGTAAAATATAAAATAAAAAAAATATATCAATGAAAAAAATTATCTTTAATTTTCTTTTTGACTTAAAATTTCAATACTTTATCAATATTTTTAATTTTTAAGATATGATTTTTTTTCATCTTCGAATTGATCTTTTTATTTAATCTTTTACATCAATTATTATCATACTTACTATTAATTATTTAAAAAGTTTTTTTTATCTTTTCAAATAGAAATGTTAGTTGTAAATATAAGTTATTAACATTAAGATAAATATGTAAATACATAGTTTTTTAAAATGATTTTTATTGAAATCCTTCTCAGTATGCGGTTTAACGAAATTAATTCAATGATCAGAAGTCACGTTTGATAATACTGGCGAAGTAATGTTAAGATGTGTTTTGAAATAAATATTCTAGTTTTTAAATATTCTTAAACTGTATAGTTTATTGAAAAAAACATTAACAATTCCTATGTAGTTATAAAAAATTATATAGTTATATTTATATATTTTGTATAGTTATATAATTATAAAGTACAAATTAAAAATAATAGGAAATGTATGTTTTATTATTTTGAAAAAATTAATTAAAAATTTTCAATATATTTTTTTATAAAAAATTATAATATTGATTTTTTCTCTTAATAAAATCTGTTAGTTAAAATATATTTTAATGTTAAATAATATTAAATAATAGATACGTTTTTTAATAATTCAATAAAACTGACAAAAATTATTTATTAATAATAAAACAATTACTTGACTTCATATGAAAGTAAATTAATTTGTTTGTATAATTTTCTTTAATAACTATAATTTAAATGCAATCCTTTATAAATAATATAAATGAAGATATGTAAATAAATGAGTCATTGCAATTTATGTGTATATGTCCCAGTTTTTAAACGTTTTGCGTGAATAATTAAAATAATACTTGAACTTTCTACTCTTGGGATTTTCCTGCCATTAATGACTAGTTCTTATCATGAACCTGGTTCAATAGTTTATGTTGAGTGATATTGTGCGTACATTTGAAAAAGGATATCCGGATATTTCCTTGTTAAAATACAAAATTATTACCGCACTTTAGAAAATCTAATGATTTAGTAATAAGTTAAATAAAAGTGGATGATTAATGTATCGATAATAAGTTAAGTGTACAATGGTGCACTAAGTGTTGAATTGTTCAATTGAGAGTAAATACTCAAATTGAAAGGCCCTAAATTATTTAAATAGATTTTCAGATTTTTATTTTCTAATTTTATTTCAGTTAAATAGTGGAATCTACGTATTTCGTTTGGAATTCTCTTGTTTTCCAATAGATTAATATTTAATATTGAAATATTGAATTAACAAAGCTCTAAAAAAATGTTTTATGAATAATTATATTTGTAAATCTGTTGAGAAGATTATGCACGTTTTGAATTTCTTGGTTCTTTCTTTTTTTTTAATATTATTGAGAAAGTGACTTTGTAAATATGTATACTTTTGTTTGGTATTTCCGAGAAAATTTAAATCGCGAATTTTCTATAATTGAGCCCGCAGTCACAAAGCTAATTACGCACTTGTTGAGAGTGAATCTCCCACACTTTCACTACTTGTTGTGTGTACGTGACACGACAAAATTTATACATATATACAAGTGAAAGAAAAGCAGTAATTTACTTAGTTAATCACTGTTTTTAATTATGAGTTATATTTCAAGTAGATGGATTATTTTTTTCTGTTTGATATTCTGGTTATTCGTAGAATTTATAAATATAGTATGTACATCTATATCAAAATTTGTATTAAATAATAAATACTAGAAAATTAATAAAAATTAAATTCTTTATTTTTTTAAATTTCGAGTGTATAGCATAAATGGATAAATTCTGTATTCTGATTGGTAATTATTATTATTAAGTGAAATATTTCATATGTCTTTGCATATGAAAATATAGATATTTTTTTATTATTATTTTGAAAATGCAAATATATTGAAGTGAATTATTCAGTAAAAAATATTTATATATAAACTAGAAAACAAATTGATTTTAATATTTACAATTATTAAAAAATTTCATTAATATCAATTTTATGTAATTTCAGTTTAACAATTTCATATATCTAAAAATATGTTAATATTAAACGAAATAAGTTGCTTTTACAATTTAGAAAATAATATTTATATTCATTTTTTATTTATGAAACAAAATTAAAATAAATTCGAAAGCCATAACGGTATGTTCTTGTCAACGAGAATTTATCTAAAAATATTGGCTAATAATAATCACAACCTTAATTTTTCCATATCTTTGGCTATCCTTTCCAAATTTCATTGAACTTGACGATTAACATATTGTATTAGGATAAATATTTAAAAAGCTTCGTAATAATCACCCTCAGTACGCGAGTATGGCAGTGCAGAGATGAGCATCACAGCTATCGGTAATAAAGTCTTGGAATTCCCCATATTGCCGGGTGCAACTCTTCAAGAATTAATAATAAAGGTAAAACGAATAAATAATATTAACAGTTCAGAAGCATACACCCGCGAAGAGCAACAGAGCTAGTGTGAGCTCGTCGCTTTACTGCGATTTCGTTTCTAACACGTTTTAAACACAGCGAATCTCGCTTTTATAGCCAGTTGCTCTTTTGGAGAAAGTATATGAGCTCGATACGTTGTATGGGGACCATAACAGAAGTGAGTGGGGAAATGTTGCGATCGCCGGCGCCGCCGCCATCGTCGCCTTTTAGACTCGTAGTGCTTCGTGAGAAATTCAAGAAGGGGAGCGAAAAAGATGCGTCTATTCCCACCAAGTTGTGCGTGAATCGAGAAAAGGCAGAATGCACGAGCCATTAGCACTTGCTTGTTTTTTTATCCATAAGCTATGATTTTCTTACATCACTTGACTATTTTCTTATGTTTCCGCTTTTACATATATAAATTTTGTATGTACGTACATAGATTTCTATACTCTTGGTTACAGTATCATTTAATCGATTTCAGTTTTATTTTCTATTTTTATGTAAAAGTGCTTGCAACTAAATTTTGTTTTTAAATGAATTTAATTAATGAAAGCCATTTGCAATAATGTTGATAAATAAATTTTGTATGATATTGGATGATTTATTTAAACAATTACATCAATAGAGATAATAATTGTTTAATAATAAATTTGTAGATATATTTATATCGATTTTCATGAATTTTAATAATATAACAGTAATAATTTTGTTTAATAAAAGTTTTCTTGCACGATGTATTTTTTATACACATTATCAATTAAATTAATAATTATACATTCTTGATATTATTCAATTAAATTTTTCATTGAAGAAATGATTAGTTAACATAAAAGTAAATAAGTGTATAATGACCTGCCTTCAACAATTAAATTCTTTTATTCAAAATAGATAATTACCTTTCAGGTTATTATCGGATATATTGCATGAATATTTTTATGAAAGTATACAAATTTTTATTACAATTATATATAATATTTTAAACTTAAGTTTCAAATTTAGTTAAATTCATTGTAAATATTTTTAATAAATTTGTAGTAATTTTTTAATCTGGACATTAAATTCTTTTTGAAATATAAATGAATGTAAAATCATAAAAATTACTACTACACTTTATACGATAAATATTAATTTTTCTAATACCATTTCCTTATTGTTGTATTAAGTACAGAAAAATTGACTGATAATTAAGATTTCAATTAATTTTTTACTAATATTTATCGCATATTAAAATAAATAAAATATGTATTTAAAAAGATATTACAAATAGTTCGATATAGATAGTGAATTTAGAAACATTATTTTGTATAAGAAATTAATATTGTTTACAAAAAATTGTAAAAAATAGATTAAAGAAAATTAGAAAAATTCAATCACATTTAAAATTCTATTAACTATATTAGGTATTCAATAAATACATCTAAATTTATAGAAAACCTTAATAGTATAATTTATTCGGTAATATTATCTATAAATAGCTTTAATATACTATTTAAACAAATTTTTCTGCTTGTTATTTAAATTAAGTTTTTCACCATAATAAATGATATTTATGTATCTAAAAATTTAACACAAAAATTTAGATATCTTCTTTAAAAATTAAGTACCATATAATTTCGCAAATTATTATAAGAATTTTTAAATTATAATTAAAAACCAATAAAATAAAATTAAATGTGTTAAAGTGGATTTAAAATAAAAAAAAACAGCCTATAATAAAACAATTACTAGAAAACTATACAGAAGAGAAATAAAAATAAATAAGGCAATTTATAGTTATTAATATTGAGTAATAATATTAATAGTATTAATTTGAATATTGTTACTATAAATACTTAAATTAATTATTTAAATGAAACCTCGAATTTTTGTGTAATATTGGACGAAGGTAATGATATGCATATTTTTTCAAATAAGACGAAATTTTTTGAATATATAGTTCATTAAAATATTGTTTTGCAAAGATTAATAATAAAGATTTATTATTTTAAAATAAGTATCGAAAAATGTTTTATTTCTTTCAATGTTATAAATAGATGAATAATTTGTTTCATTTCTAAGTTACAATCTTAAAAATAGACTCAATATTGTGTATTAAAAGTGATTAGTTATAATTATCTTGCATAATTATAGAGAAATCAAAAAAGGTGCGACAAAACTGATTTGTGATGAGAAATTCTAGTGATAGGTCGATGATGTTTCTTTCATATAAATGCAAAACTTTAATACAAATGTGTAGGCGTTTAATAAGTACACAGTCGGTTTCTATATTAGTCGCTAATTGTTCGTGTAATAATTTTTTAAATAATTCACCTATAGTCTATGAATATCGTTAACATGTTTTTTTTTTATAAAATGATAAAAAAAAGTGATAAAATTTTTTCTATAAATCAAGAATTGTTAAAAAAAGTACTTAATTTTTTAAAACTACCATATAATTTCATTTTACATTTAGAAAATTATTTAGAATTTGTATAAGTTCATTAATAAACTTTCAAATCAGTTTTTTACAATGTTTCATCATATATATATATATATATATATATATATATCAATTTCTGTGTGTGTATGTGTGTGTGTGTGTGTGCACTCTTAATGATTTCATATACTTTTTTAAAATTTGCTAATTTCTTATTTTATGATTCATTAAATATATTAATATAGAATATCAATTTATGCCGTATGTTAAGAATGCAATTTCTAAAAATTTTTTCCAAAAAAGTAATTAAGAGCTAATGTGCTTCAATACTATTTCGTTGACAAATTAATATATTATGAAAATCAACTAAAAAAGAAATTACTTAATTCATGTTTAGTAAAATAAAAATATTGTTTGTATTTACAAATGAAATTATTGAATTATAATTATTATGGCGTGCTTTGTTCCTCTGATTAATTAGTTGGTATTTTATATTTGATTAATAAATTTTAACTGTTTTTTTTAATAACGTTAAATGAAGTAATTCTATGAAATTAAAAAAAAGTATTTTAAAAATAATTGGATAACATGAGTATTTTTATTACCAGAATTTAATGAGAGTTTTATTTATGATTATTTTAATCTGTAGAAACAAGTTTCATATTTAAATTTGGCTAATACCATTTTTCAAACTATTATACATACTGCGTATATATATGTACATAATAATTTAATTCAGAATGAATAATTTTTATAAATTTTAAATCTAAAATTCTATTATATGAAATCGAATAATGAAATGAAATTAAAAAATTATATTAATCGAGTTTATATATTTTTCATTATATCAATCATAAATAAAATTCTCGTAGTTTTTGTAATAAGCACATTGATGTAATTCAATTATAAATAAATATATATATATATATATAAATTAATAGTTTAAATTTGAATTTGATTGATTTAGTAGTATTGTTATCAATTTGAATAATATATCTGTCACAATTGAAAATGTAGCAGGACATTAAATAAGTTATAATTTAAACCGATAATTGTTTCTTAATGTCATTGTAGAGTAGATTTAAATAAATTACATGAAGCATTAATTTTTTACAAGATTATTCATTCGTTTTGACGATCATAAAATGCCTCATTTGCAGATGTACGGTCAAGAGACAAATGCATGAAATACGATTGTGTTTCCACACATCTTCTGCGTAATATTAGCTATACCTTCACTTGCATTATTTTTGCCCTCAATTTCGCATTTTACGTATTTTCCTGTCTATGAAAAAACAAATATAAAAAAAGTATTCTTTAGAGTCGTCTTATGAATAGTGTATATCTTCATTTAATCTTTTATAAATATAATAATAATAACATTATGAAATATTATTAATATGAAAATTCTATTAAGCTATTGGCTAATACAGATGTTTTTTACTTGCGCAATTGGAGCGGACTCACGCTCATGGGCATATCAAATATTGTCATGAATTACTCTCCTAGTTGTGTCTTTATTTGTTTATTTATCTATCTATTGATTTATCTACCTTTTTATTTTTCTCTTTCATGTTCTCCCTTTATATTTGAAAGTGGATGTGAAGCCTCCTCGGTGATTGCATGCAGAGGGCCAGAAGAACGGCGAACTCACCTTTGAGTGAATGTTGGCTGTCTTTTCTAGAACGAGGACGCAAAAGCGATGCGTCAAGATGAATACAACGTATGTTTGAGATTCTATATGAGGGCATATTATTATATCGAGAGTGAACGAATCTATGTAACAATGTAATATGTACCAAATGAAAATGAAATGTACAAAATTTTATATTCATATATTTAATATAATGCATTAAAAAATAATTTATTTATCCGAATGTGCGTGGATTATAATTTATAGTTGGTTTAGGGATTTACAGGATATTATTTATTTATTTTGCTTTTTGTTTTTATTACTCAGTTTATGACATATCTGTATTATTATTCTATTATCAAGCAGACCTGTAGTATTTGGACTATTTTATAAAAATATTTTGTAAATAGAGGCATATAAAATTTCAAATTGTTCAACGTAAGGTAAAACTTTTTTGGAATAATAAGTAACTCCTTAAAATAAAAAATTTCTTGTAAAAAATATTTTCATATGCTTTTGTTATCGATTATATTAAAGAAATATGTGATATACGTAATAAATATTTATGTTAATTTATACTTATTTCCATCAATTTATTATTTATTTCATTTTGCTTTATCAAATAAACCAATTTTAATATAAATTTATGTATTAAATAAGTAATTAATTGATTAAGCAATTATAAAAAATAAATCGAACTTTACACATTTTATTTTATATTTAATAAAATTTTTATTCAGAATAATTGTTTTAGTCATAGACGTTAGAACAATTCTCAATGTATTTAAATTTCATAAGTAACAAAAGTCATTACATTAATTCTATTGCAAAAATAAAGGTATAATTATCTAGATTTTTTAGAAAACCATTTTTTTATAATAATAAATGTTCTATCAATTTAATTATATATATTTCAAATTTTAATAATTGTAATGCTTAAAAACGGATTTAAGTGTACGATAAAAAAATTTATATAATAATATATATCGAATCATAAATTAATTTCCATATTCAAAAATTTTTAAGGATGTCCTACTTATAATATATAAAA